ATATATAACTTATTTATAAATATAATAATTCATTAAAATTAGTTTAGAGGGAAGTTATTGATCATATTTCATAGTGATGTTGAATAGTTTAATTTGCTTATTTTATTTAATGTGAGTGTGAATATTTATAAATGAGTGTTCTAATCATTTATGCTGTTCCCGAAATAATTTATTGATTATGAAGACTTTTTTAGGTATATAGTGTGTTGTTATCCAAGAAGAGGCAAGATTAACTAAGCATTAGTTTATTTCCTATTATAATATCTTTTTTTTTATTATATACAAGTCAAAAGAGATCACTAGCAGAGTATTATTCCTTTTGGTTTCTAGAGCTCAACAATCTATGAGCCTAATACTCTGCACATCTCCTCCCTTAACTTTGCAGGGACCTTCGAGGTATCTTGACTGCCCTTCCATCTTGTATGCACGGCTGGCATTGAAGGGAGGCTCTTCTCTGGATCCTGGTCTTGGTTGTCCCTCTGCATCCTTCCATCTCTTGTAGATGAGGCCGTTGGTGTAGAGCAATCCTCCTCGGTCTCTTGCTCCTGGTCATCCTTGCATCTCCTTGAGAGCCAGGTTGATGTCGAAGTGGGGGTCTCCTCATTTCTCTGCTCCTGGCGCTTTCCAGGGGCATCGTCCTATATGCTTGAAGAGTCAGATAGCAATCTTCTTGTTTCTTCTTGGGCTTCTTAGATTTCTTCTTGGGAGGTTCTTCAGCTTCTACTTCCTCCTCCTCACTGTCCTCAGCTTGCTTCCTCTTCTGGGGCAAAAAGTTTGCTTGATGTCAAGTTTCAAATTTTATTCGAACAATGACTTTCTTTATGAATTCAGTTTACCGCTTCTAAGCTTGCTTGATGTCGAATTTCAAATTTTCTTCGAACAACGACCTTCTTTATGAATTCAGTTTACCGCTTCTAAGCTTGCTTGATGTCGAATTTCAAATTTTCTTCGAACAACGACTTTCTTTATGAATTCAGTTTACCGCTTCTAAGCTTGCTTGATGTCGAATTTCAAATTTTCTTCAACAACGACCTTCTTTATGAATTCAGTTTACCGCTGCCACCATGTGTTGTTATCCAAGAAGAGGCAAGATTAACTAAGCATTAGTTTATTTCCTATTATAATATCTTTTTTTATTATATACAAGTCAAAAGAGATCACTAGCAGAGTATTATTCCTTTTGGTTTCTAGAGCTCAACAATCTATGAGCCTAATACTCTGCACATATAGTGAGAAAAAATCTATCACATATTAATATTTCCTATATACAATGATTTTTAATTGTATTTTGCAATAAATGTAAAATATACACAAATGATCCTGGTGTTTCTGATTGATCTTGAAATCTTCTCGCTATATCTGAAAGTTTGACAAAATCAATAAGGAATCTTGGGCTAGGTAACATACCCTTCAACACGGAGACCTAGAAGTACTACTACTATCTTTAAAATGTGTAACAAATAAATTTATTATATTGTGACGAAGAAATAATTTATTATTCAATTTAATTATTCAACGAAAATATTTGAAACATTAAAAATGTTACATTTTCTAAATCATCATTTAGTTGCCTTGCTTGCTTGCTCGATATTCTCTAGCTGTAGATAGTTTGGTTGATATGTTAATATTTGTTGGCGCCGTCTCGTCATCAATAAATAATTTCACACCTTTAGACATACAGAGACTTGATTTCTACGCTACAATATATCTGAAAGTTTTGTGATAGTAATCCAATAACGCTTTAATTGGTCCATATATTTAATGGTGTCCATGTCATTTTCTGTGATTGGCACTTTATTCCTTTTCCCAGTGCCATCTAGGTAGAGCATCCACAGTTCCTATACTTTCTGAAATTATTGAACACACTGGCAGTTTTCCAAAAAGAAAAAGGGAGAATAACACATATTTAGGAGGAAAGGGAGGAGAGATTTTTTTAGAAAAGTTTGATAGAATAAATAAAATGGTTGGAGGTATGGCTTACTTCTCTGTGTAGCCCCGCTACCTTTAGTGATTCCAAGAATGTTACAGCCAAAACAGCCAATTTGAATTTGAAACTCCGCCTTTGCCAGTCCCAAGCCCCAAGCCCGATGAAAAAGGAGGAGGGGGAGCAGTAACAAGCTCGCTAAAAAACCTAGGCTCAGCTGATAGTACCCTGTAAGGGTAATCCAGGGATACAGGATGAGCAGTGTTTGTACTTCATGTTAGGAGCATCTGCACATGACGTCTGTTCCTCATGTCAGAGGCGGCCATTTACCCTAATGATTGAGTGGAGATAAGAAAGAAGAAGAAGAGTTCATTTGAAAGAAGTCTATATGCATAATCATTTATCAAAACTTCTGACTAATTAATCAAACCAATATGTCAAAATTAAGATTTGTACAAAACACTATTTTGAAGATTTCTGACTTTGCAACTATGTGTTTTCAGTTACTACTTCATATAAAAAATGGTAAAGGAAAATGGGGTTTGTATACATCTCAGACTAATATTATTTCTGACAAGTAATTATTAATCAACAGGCCAGGCAACATGAAGTTGAAAAGACAAAAATATATATTTTTCCTTAAATATTTCTCTTTTAATTTATGTGAATGAAAAGCCAAATATGTGTGATGTTCAGGTGCTTTCTCTCTCTAATATAACCCTGGTTGAGAGAACCACCATTGAAGTCCATATTACCAAATATTCTTGTATACATCAAGTGTGTTCTCTCCTTCCAACTTACTATTATATAAATGCATATGGAAAGGTTTAGTTTTAAACTGGTAATTAAATGGTACTTATTTTGTGTGCTTTTAGGATGTCAAACAAACCTAGAAAGAGCGCAAATATTGAACTGTTTCGTCAAGGAAAACGTCAATGTTAAATTTTTCGGCTGCTCAAAGTGCCTCAACAAACTGTGTCCAAGGCCATTCATCGCTTCAATGATCTTGGACCATAAAGGCGACCGCGCAGAAAGAGGAAGAATGAGCACCTTCAGCCATACAATAATTAAAAACGAAATTCGAGGGTGTCCATCAGAAAAATCGCCCGTGAGACCGCATAAGTCGTTGGTGCATCAAATAGCGAAAAAGGAACTGAACCGTAAGGCGTACAAGCTCCAAAAGGTTCAGCTTCTCACACAGGCGCGTATGGCTTTCGAGATGTTGCCGATTCAAGCATCGGCCCACTGGTCAGCGATGGGAATGCATACTCTTCACAGATGAGAAGCTATTCACCCTCGAGCAGGTGCACAACAATCAAAACGACAGGAACTGGTCCGTGGCTCTCGGCACGTCGGCCATCTTCGAACACTGCCAAAATTCGCAGTTGGTTATGGTATGGGCCGGAATTTGTGCCAGTGGCAAGCCCCCCTTGTTTTCATTTCTTGGATCAGGGGGTCAAAATAAACAAAAAAAGTGTATCGCGGTGACATGACATGATCGAGGCCATCTTACTCCCGTGGGTTCAACAGCACTTCGGTGATGCAGGTTAAACTTCCAGCAGGACTCCGCGCCGGCTCACAAGTCTAAATTGACTCAGGACTGGTGCAGGGCCCATTTTCCGGACTTCATGACTTCTGGGCTGCCCTACTCACCCAATCTAAAACCAGATGGATGGTCCATGAAGTGTATTTTTTCAGGCCAGGGCCTGTGCTACATGCCAAAGAAGTTTGAAGTCACTGAAACGATCACAGCGCCAAGAATGGGACCAATTGAAGCCAGAAGACTTGCGGCCCATAGCCAAAAATTTCAAGGCACGTTTGAACTTTAGTATCACTGCCAAGGGAGGCCCCTTTGAAACAGGTTGAATAAATTGTTAGATAGTATCCATATTCATGTTTTGCAATGTTAATGTGTGCATTTTTTTTTTGTTTAATAAAATTATGACTAAAAATGTTCAACTCTGTTATTTTGGGACACCTTATATTCAATATACACATTTCTTCCTTGATGACACAACCTCAGGATTATGCCAATGATTGATTGCTAGCATTTTTTCCCACAGAGTGGTTGATGAGATGGCATTGCCCATCTCAAGCCCAAAATGGTATTTGTAGATGGTTACCTTCACTACTGCTATGGACTTCATTGCTTCTGGCTGAAGGCTGATACTGAAGAGCCATGTCTGCAAATTCAGAGGCACCTTAGAGGAAGTTAACACCTCCCAAGACAGGAGCCAAACTTCAGTATTGTGCCTCATCAATCAGTTGCTGGATCCACAGGGGGCATGCTTCTAGGCAGAAAGTCGGAATGGGTAGGATGTAGGACCAGTCAGAGTGTGTGAGACATCTGTTTAGTGCCCTGAGTAAAAGTTGCAATGCAGATCAGCTCAGGAGATGGACATATCCACAGTGTGCAACCAACTCTCAGACATGATGCACTTGCAGCCACATAAAGTCCAGTATGCGATCTGGCTGGAGATGAGGTCAAGGAGTGTCATTGATTACCACAGGACAATGGTCTCCATCACATGCCCTGTCCAATAGCTGGTGTTTTCCTGCAGTAGACACTGGCAAAAGACCCCTGGTATCATATTATCAGGACTCAGCACACATTGAGCGCATTAAGGCAGAAGTACCATTGGGGATGTCTCCAACAGTCATCAGTGAGTGAAGCCAGCAGGTCTTGCAGACACAGGGATCTGCTGTTGTCTTGAGAACATAGGGCCTTCAGCCTGGCAGGGTGGAGAAACCAGTAGTCTTTTTTTTGCTTATCCCTAGTACCCATGGTACAGGCCATGATAAACATGGTGGGTAGTTAGTGACTGATTTTTACTGTAAGTGCACCACCACCTGTCTACACATGTGAAAAGCAGTTCAACTTTGCACTTACAAATGTGCCAGAGCCCTGTTTAGTTACTTGCACTCGCTGGTGGGGTTGGACTTTTGCAAGTATCGGCGGCCATTGGAGCATTTTTTTTTTTAAACAGAAAAAAGTGTCCAATGCGGGAATCGAACCCGGGTCGTAGTGGTTGAAAACCAAACAGTTTAACCAGCCTTCCACCGACCCCCCAAAAAATGTTCACGCCCGGGATCGAACCGGGGACCTTGTGCGTATGAAGCACACGTGATAACTGCTACACACCACGGAAACATAAACCAGTAGTCTGGTTCAAGGATGCTAAATGCAGTCTCTTTTTGAGAGAGAGAGCATTTATTAAATAAAAATGTATCTCAGCATCGGCTTACATTTTTTCTAGCATTTTCTAAAGTATATTAAATTTTAAAATGCCACACACTTCTTCAATATTTAATAATTGGATACTGGTATGGCTAATCTACTCTATAAGAAAGAGTTCCCAGAAATGCAACACGAGGCTAATTATTGGACTGAAAAGATATTACTAATATTAACATGAAATCATTGTCATAAATAAAGTTAAAATATTATAATCATAAAAAATATCTCAATAAATATAATTTGATGTTTGAAATTTCAGGAGATTATATATGTAGTGTATTTTGAGTTAGATAGTTCACAACCTTCTTCTGGTGTTTATTATGGCCCCATATCTATATAAAAATATGTATCGACTTTGTGGAAATGGATGTAACAAATAAACAAAGAGGCAGGGGTAGACCAGACGGTGACAACGACCCGGCGCCAGGAAGTGGCGTGATTACAGGAACCAATCAGGACTCTCCGCCATATGCGGGGGTCCAGTATAAAAGGGCCCAGAAAATGAGACAAAAGAGTTGTTTTCAGAGTGACGCCGTTATACGGTCGGTCAGATCTCTCATCCCTTCTTCTATCCGCGAGTAGGCTTAGGGCATCCGCGGCGCCCGTGGTCCGACTGCCTTCGTCCGTGGTCTATCTCTACCTCTTGGAGCTACCATCTAGACCTGCCTCTGTCCCTTGCTGTCCCCATGCGGGAATCCCATCACGCACCCACGACCACGACTGCCCAGTACATTCCACGTCGGCTTAGTCGGGGTTACTACATATATACAAGAAAATAAGACCTAATCCAAATAAATTTATTTAGATTTGGTCTTATTACACCTTGTAATTTTATTAAATGCTTTAGAATATTTGAAAATGATAGAAAAGTCAATTAAAACATTGCTTGAAAAAAAAAAAACACAATTTATCCCAAATCTAGTTTTGTCTATGCAAAGGCTGATAATATGTATGTAAAAAAGATTATTTCACAAGTTTTTTTTTGATACAAAATAAAATTTATTTCATAATCTCAATTCAAACAGTTAAAAAAAAAAAAAAACATGGCAGGAAAAAAAAGGGGGGGAAATAATTTAAAAACAACAAATATAAAGGAAGGGGAGACGAAACGAATTTTTCAGTGTAAAAAAATCTCTCTGGTCAGTGGAGGCCGAAGGCGTTGGACACTTGGCGTAGGTAAGTGGGCAAGATGGGCAGCAAATGTTTCCTTTCTAGGGGAACTTTGCTACACTGCATTCACATGGCATGTTTGTTAGCATCATTCTTACATATATCCAGATAGATCCTTTTTTTTTGCTTATCCCTAGTACACGTGGTACATGCCATGATAATCATAGTGGGTAGAAGTACGTGACTGCTTTTACTGTAAGTGCACCACATGTCTACACATATGAAAAGCAGTTCGACTTAGCACTTAAAAATGTGCCAGAGCCCCGTTTGGTTACTTGCACTCACTGGTGGGGTTGGACTTTTGCAAAAATCGGGGGCCATTGGAGCATTTTTTTTTTTAAATCAGAAAAAAAGTGCCCAAAGCGGGAATCAAACCTGGGTCGTGGCAGCGGAAAACCATTTAGACCATCCTTCCACCGACCCCCTAGATAGATCCATGGTAGGGGCTGAAGTATAAATCATCTAACAGCTTGTTGCCATCTATGTGTCAGTGTGGAACAGACCATAGGGGGATAGAGCCTTATACAGTAGAACCTCCATTAGAGGACACTCATGCTCGAGGAAACCTCTCTACAAAGGACAGTTTCCATAGATAAAATTACAATTTTTACTATTTAGCAACTTTATGGTATGAGGACACCTCTCTCTATAGGACACCTTTGTTTTGCATTCAGGTGTCCTTTACTTAAAGGTTCTACAGTACCTGAAAATTTATTTGGTTCATAAAAACAGAGAACAGAAAGATATCTTAATTGATGAAAAGCATTTGATATATATATTCATGGTTAGGATGACTTTTAAATCTCCCACACACGCAGACCACTAATTCCCTGAGAGACTTCCTTTGTAAATTAAAAAATGACTTGGCCCAATCTAACCCAACCTCTCTCCAATGAGAGATAACATCCAAGAAAGACAATAAGGCACAATTTATATTATAGATATAAATACAAGGTAATAAGACCAATTCCAAATAAAAGAGCAGGTTTAATTTATGAAGTGAAATGTGAAAAATGTGACCAATGCTATGTAGGACAAACATCTAGAACTTCAAAAGAAAAAATGAAAAACCATGAATATGATCTAAAATTGAATAAAATTGAGAATTCTGCCCTTGTAGAACATAGAAAAATCATAGGGCATAATAATTTTAATCTAAAAGAAACAACGATACTAGATTATGAGAAAAATTACTTTAAGAGAGACAATTTAAGGAAACATTTTTCATTCAAAAGAAATGTACTACAATTATATACAGTTAAACCTGTCTATAGCGCCCCCTCTAAATAGCGCTTCCCTCTCTATAGCACCCGATTTTAAATACGTAGTATCATGCGATTTACAACCAAAGTGACCTGTCTATAGCAACCCCTCCTCATAGCACCCTATTTTGGTGAGTCCCAAGAAGGGGCGCTGTAGACAGGTTTAACTGTGTATATATAACAGAATAGAAGAAAGAGGAATCAATAATATAAATATAAATGAAAAAACAATAGAAAAAAATAAAAGATAAGTGGGTCAGGTGTTGATATTAAAAAAAAAAAAAGGCATCTCCTGACCACGAGCACATGTGCTTTTCGTGGATGGCTTTTCTTGATAAATCAAGAAATTGGGTTGGCCAAATATCACGGAGCAAGCTAAATAAACGTTTAGTTTATTTTTGCTCCACTAGATGGCGCTCTGCCATCTAAAAAGCACATGTGCTCGTGGTCAGGAGATGCCTTTTTTATTTTTAATATATATAAATGTAATTGTGTGAAAGCTTGTCCTTTTAAATGAAAAAGAAACACTTTACAATAGATGTTGAATCTCCTGACTATAAAATAATGCAACAGAGGTTTCTGGAGTTTCTTATCATTTTATTGGTGCATTCTTAAGCTTTCAGGTATTTCTGCCCTTCTACAGGAGTACAAAAACAAATAATAATAATGAACTCCAATTTTTATTAATCATTTTTGTACGCTTGTAGAAGGGAAGAAATGCCTGAAAGCTTGACAATGCACTACTAAAATGATAAGAAACTCATCTCCAGAAACCTCTGTTGCATTATTTTAAAGAAACTCTTTGCAATTATTTTTATTAGGTGCATTTATTTTCAAAAATCCTTCAATTATGAAAGAGTATAATCCACATATAGCATAGAACTGCCCCATTGAGAAGGTAGGCAAACAAACAACTCACAGAAAGGTTGGTGCTGGGAGGGATCCCCTGGGAGTCTCCCACTTCCACCATGGAGCGGTACTTCCACAGAATGGGAAAGATGTGGCCCTCTGTGGAGAAGACATAGTCTGTGGCCCTCTTGTTCACTGGGTTGTCCACGTCAAAGAGCTGTTCACAGCCAGTTGTAAGTACACAGGATCAACAGGATCCATAACACTGGAACAATTTGTATTAAAACCCCCGTAAAATATTTTGGTAGCAATAGTACTGCTGTCCAGGGCATATATGTTCATGAAGCTACAAAGTTTTTAACCTGACAATACTGCTATGTATGTATTTTAGGTACCTTATAAATCTATTATTTTAAATTGACAACTTTCTGAAGATCTCTAATTGCAATGATAAAATAGATTTTTTTGGGAGGGTATGGCACTCAGTACTGATGTCTCCAGTGATATTGTGTGAAGTGTGTATAACATTTGATCTATGTCTGATAAAATGCCAAATTGTGGTAGTCTCCAATGAGAGAACACCAAAAAATATGGCCAAACCCAGCCTTTCTTAAAGGTGGTCTTTTATCAGAGATTTTGTCTCATGAGTAATCTCTGATGTTACACAAGGTAATAAAGATCAAATCCAAATAAATAGTGTGTGATGGTTCAGTAACCCAACGTTGTTACCATCATCAGAAATTTTTAGTGAAACTTCAAACAAACTATTTGTTTATTTGGATTTGGTCTTATTACCTTGTGTTTCTTATCTATAATCCAAATTATCAGTCTCTGATGTTAGATTACCTCAAGAGAAACCAGGATTATAACCATGTTTTCAGGAAATCTCTCATGAAGACCCTACTGTATTTGATCTTGTAACCTAACACATTCTATGACTATTCAGATAGATGCAATAGCTACATCCACTTACACAATCAGATATATTTCATCTTCTTCTTTCATATCTCTGATACTTTTTATTAATTTTACCATTTGAAATTTGAATATTGTAACCAAGTATTTATTCATTTTATTATTTTTATTAACAGAGTGGTCATTTTCATATTTATATTTTGCTACTCTGTAAATTCCCCTCGTGGCTTTTTGTTTACCTTTCATAATTTGTCCTTCCCTGAAATAAATTTTGTTTCATCCTGAAGTTTTTGTCTTCCCTAATTTTCTACGTGGCAATATTTTCTCCTTTTTTCCCCATATTCTATGATATTTATTTTTACAGGATGCTTCTACAGGTACTCACTCACCAGGTAGAGGTATTTGCAGGTCTCACTGAGGAAGAAACTCTCCATGCGGTCCTCCAGACTCTTGTCTTGGACATTGTGGATGGTGGCGTAGCCGCACCTGCACAGCAACTTGTTGCCTTAACCTCCTGGAGGGGAAAGTTCTCTCTAACATGGCTTCTTTTAAAAATTACTAAATAAGGCACACAATTTGGATTATAGATTATAAATACAAGGTAATAAGACCAAATCCAAATAAATAAATAATGTGTGATGTTTCGATAACAGAGTTGTTACTGAAATGTCACACACTATTAATTTATTTGGTCTTATTACCTTGTAATTACAAAAT